TAACAAATATTACCTACACCTACAAAATAAATATACATAAAAATTTATAAGATGCATTGATCATTATAATATATTCAATAAAGAATAACCAATATTTTTATATTTTTATGAGTTTATAATAATGAGGATTTTTTTATTATTGAAGTGAAACTTCTTTATCGAGGTTGGTAAAAAATTTAGTGTAACATTTTTTCGTTACGCGTCACATTTTTCGGTTACGCACCATGTTGCTTTTTGAAGTCAAACTTCTTTATCGGCGTTGGAATGAAACTTCTTTATCGGCGTTGCAATGAAACTTCTTTATCGACGTATGGGAGAAATTTTGTAGCAAATCGTCACGTTTTTCAATGATAGTAATAATTCTATTACAATTAATGAAATTCTATAATAAACTTCGTAGTAAGAAGGTAAAATGAAATATTTGTATTCATGTCTATGATAATAAAAGCCTTTTGTTAAACTTTATCGAATTTAACGAATTTCTGTAAAGTTGCATATAGTAGATCATTTTTCGAAAAATAAGATCATAAAGAAGTTTCACTTCTTACGTGTGTACACCTAGTACACGCACAATTTATTTTTAAGAATTTTTTTACATTAAAAATATCTATATATACGACTATAGGTAATTAAATGGACGAAGGTGTAATTTTTTTTAAATTATTGTACCTATTAAAGTTGCAATTTAAGAACTCCGAGATTTCACTCAAAGTACTTAATATAATAAATCTCTTCCTAGACAACATGATCATTAAACGAAATGACAGTAGAAAGTGTTACAGACTTAATCGTTGTTAAGATATGTGTGTTAGGTGTAAATGGATGTACTCAAAGCTACATTTATCAAACTATAAGGAGGGAAAACTAACATAATAACTATTAAAATAAAAATGAATATGTGGGTTTCAAACTTCCGCCACTAAGCTATAAATACATCAATTATTTATTTGCAAAGTGTTACATTCACATTGATTGTTTTAAAAACCCGCACATTTTAATATTAATAACATAAGCATATCTGTCAATATGCAATCATAGTGTCAAAATAATAAGAACAGTTAACATAATTGTTGTCAAAACTTATGATCTAAAAACTCTCCCACATTGTAAAGGCACCTTTTTTATTATTATTAATAATACTCCCTGCCATTGCGTCCAGGGACTTTTTCTATCTCTCAAATTTTTCCAAAAAAAACGTGATGTTATATTAATTCCAATACACTTGTTAACGAATGGTGTATTACGCGTCTCGCGCAATACGCCCCGCCCCGGCTACATCGGTAATATTTTTATTTACAATATTCATGGGCGAACCGGGGCGCAATTCCTCGCGAGACCCGCTGTTTCAGTTTTGTTCGCCGCCTTTATATATTTTTTTCTTTTTTTTCTACCACAATAAAGGTATCTTGCCCTAATCTAATCCCCTTCCCCTTCCCCTTCCCCTTGAAAGCATTACACGGCAGTGATCTGTAACTTCTGGAAAGGTGATGCAATAGTTCGATAGCCATGGCCTCACATTTTTTTTAAATACATCGTGGTGCTACATGCTAGCGCCCACATCCGTGTTGGTACCCTCGGTAGATACAGGCAATTTTGTAATAGTTTTTTTTTGGTTATATGCTTAAGAGTTCAACCTTTTTAAAAACGAGTAATGCCCGAATACTGAAGTAAACCCAGTTTATCTATTTCATTACGCTATTGGTCTATATATAAATATTTTAAATTATTTTATTTTTGTTAAACTAAAATGGCCAGCTTACCTAAGTTTATGTGTTCGATAACTTTAATGACTCAATAAGTTAAAGAGTAATAACCGTGAAACTCAAAAACCAAATAAGTCATTACAAAATAATACTTATCAGTATACTTATATAATATATTATTATTAAACGTTATATAATATCCAAAAAAGTTTGGCCATATGTGACGCCAACGTAGTTACTTATACGATTAAATACATATCTACTACTAAATATTCTTACTTAATTGACACTACATAACTTAAAGTCACACCCTTATATCTTGCTGGACAAGTTACCAAATTAAACATGCCAATAAATTGTCAAGGTATAAAATTCTAAATCCAAATTATCTTGTTTGTGAATCATCGATCTTAGACGAGCATCAATAAATACCTCATTATATTATATTTATACAAAATGTTTTTGTTAACATTTACATAATTCACTGTGACATCAAGCGGATTGTGCTTGAGGTCAAGTTTCTATAGGTTTAAGTTACAATTAGCATTTTAAGCAGTTTATAGCTAAATATTATCGATATACAGTAGAATCTCTATAACTTGAATGTCAAGGAAAATGCAAAAAAAAACAGTTAACGAGTTTTCGATTTAACAAGAACTTCGAGATACATATGATTTAACTGCTGAAATTTCGACTTTAAAGGTTTTTTTTTTATTTTTTTTGAGGTGCGATTTTTAAAGGTATTTTTCGATTTGTAGAGTCGTATTTGAATAACAATTCAACTTATGTTTTATAGTATATATTTTTTACATATTAAAACGAATTACATATGTATTAATGAAGTAAACTGTACAAGACAAAACAATAGATTAGAAGCCCCGAACCCGAAATTGCTATTATTTCGGGGAATTCCAAGTAAGACGTCGTTATATTTTACTAACTACGAGTCACGGAGTCTCCGTATTGAAATTCGAGTTATAGAGTATAAATATATTATAGTGTATAAGGGGTTCAACGGAAGGGAATGGCAATTTTTTCGACTTATTGAGGATATCCACTTAACGAGGTTCGAGATAGAGATTCCACTATATATTATTTTCAGGTAAATACAAATGTTTAGTGCATATTTTCTAGCCAATAAGACTAGTGCTAACGTGACTGCTTCTCGCAGTAACTAAAATCTCATAAGAATATCTTTAAAAAAATAATTAAAAATCAGCAATCTGTCCTATTGGTTACGAGACAAATAATATGTTTAATTGAACACATTATATAAATATATGTTTCTAAGAATTACATAAAATCTCTTTGGTTTTATAATATAATTTATTATGAGCAGAAAAGTATAATAATATAATAAGACAAATTGTATGATTTCTTTTGCTTCTGAGTATCAAGTAGTATCAATAATTACGTTAATTATTTAGTTTTTTGTTATTTATTATGGCTATTATAAAGATCGGTTTTTTTTTTTAATGCTGCGATGACAACTTTTTTCTCTATACTGGAAGGTTTACTAGAAGGTTTTAGTATTTTAGTACCTGTAGCACAATATATATTATTTAAATTAATAAAACTAATTTTAAGTATGTTTTATGCCATACATCCCATTTTAATATATAAAATTGATCAAAAGTTTAATTAGATCGCTTCGGTAGCATCAAATTGTATTCGTGAGTATTGAAATAAAAGAGGTCGATAACTCAGAGATACTACCGTTTAAGAATATTAATAAGCATATATACATACTTTCCATACTAATATTGTTACGACAGACAGACAGCGTGCTTCTATTTAAAGTCGAATTTTAAGTTTAATACTACTATGTACTATTAAACTTATATGATTATGAAAAAAGCATTTGTAATTTCAAAGTTTTTTGTTAATTTATATACTGATATCACAAACCAAAATAGTTTTTTTGGAAATGATGAGTCATACATATTTTAGGTTATTATTTATATATTTATTTATTAACACTTCGTTGCAGAAACATAATACAATTGATATAATAAAATAAAAAGAATGGTAACTGGCGGCCTTATCGCTTTCGAGCGATCTCTTCCAGGCAACACTATTAATTTTTAATACAGTAGGGTATGCATTGGTCGAATCAAGTGTGGTACAAACAATTACTTAGAAGTTTTGTGGATTATAAAATATTTTTTAAATAATAAAATTACAATGAATGAAACACGAAATGATGAAACACTCTTATATTAGTAAGGGAGCCAAGTTTATTAAACAAAAAAACTAGAAAACGTGTCGTTGGAGAATCCAAAGAATTTATCTAATACATATATAATTGATGTTCTGTATATGTCCATCTTCATGTTTGTATGTTAATTATAAGATACTTGAATTTATTTACATACTTTTAAATTTTTCACAAGAGATGTGTTTGTAATGAGAGGTGCAGATTTCCGCGTTTACCTATTTCTTCCTAGTTTGTATGATTTTCTTTTCGCAATAAAATACTAGTAGTTCATACAAAGATAGAAATTAGATTTACGTAGATAGAGTTAATGACTATTTTCTCATTCAAATTAGCACATTTAAATCGTTTGTCGTGCTAAGCAAATCAAAATAAATTTTCTAAAAAGATAATCTTACCATAAAATTCCAGAAACAATATCACCAAGATGAAAATCACTCACAAATAAAATCACAATTTTCTAAACATTCGATAAAGCGGATAGATTCGGACACTCAATTATAAACTATATTTTTTTCGAAATAAGGTCGTTTTTCTCTTAGAAACTAAAGATGTGCCGCGACGCGTGTTCGCGGCTTCGTGTGCACGCTAACTTTGCGCGTACGCACCTGTTCTACCCACTATGGTTTAAGTGGGTGACATAGAATTCGGTATGTGGTACCATAAAAATATATTAATTCATAATACCTTTTCAAGTTTTAATGTATACGTATAATAAAATAAATTTCTGAAGTTCGAAAATATAATTTTTATTTGACTTATTGGAGTATTTTTGTAGACTTCAATAAATTATTATGTTCGACATTCGGAGCTTGACTTGGTAACATACACGTTACCGATATTAAAAAGCGATTCAGTCCTAATCACTGAGCGAGATAGATTAACAATAGTATCAGTGAAATGGCTTTTTATTTTCTCTATACGTTTAAAAAATAATTTTCACTAAACTTTCACTATCTTAAATGGTATTTAATCGTGACTCACAGATGAGCGTCGAGACGTCACGCTATGGTTGTAGATATAATCATTAAAACTGACCTAAAAATATTTTGTATAAAATACGGAAAGCGTAAAATCGGAAAATGCGCATAGTAATAACACGCACAAATAATAAGGGTTGGAAGGGTAATTTACGTACCTGCCGTACTGGGTGGTTAAACAATGATAATGCAAGTATTATGAGTGAAATAGTGAGAAATGAGAGGCCACTCGGTTACGAGTACATCGGTTGGTGTACAGTACCAACGACTCATAAATAATTATTCTAACTAATGTGTATTGTCGTTTGACATACATCTATTTCGTAAGCTTTACGTCTCCATAACTTAATTAAATCAATATCTATGAAACAAAACGTTGGGTCCAGATTGTTTATTATTAAGGGGGAGTTGAGAAATTTTTCCCTTTTTTGGATATTCCCCCCAAATGTTAATTCCCATTTGGTTTTTTTTTTTCCCTTTTGTTTTTTTTTTTTTCCCCCCAAAAAATGTTCTTTTTTTTTTTTTTTTTTCCCCTTTTTTTTTTTTTTTTTTTTTTTTTTTGAGGGGGGGGTTTTTTTTTTTTCCTCCCCCCCGGGGGGGGGGGGGGGGGGGGGGGGGGGGGGGGGGGGGGGGGGGGTTTTTTTTTGTTTTGTTTTTTTTTTTTTTTTTTTTTTTTTTTTTTTTTTTTTTTTTTTTTTTTTTTTTTTTTTTTTTTTTTTTTTTTTTTTTTTTGTTTATTATTACCTAACCTAAAGTTAGCCTTGCCGGTGAGCCATGATGGTCTTATGGAACATGACTCCTCATAATACCTTAGATATTTTCTAACATCAAACTTTCTTCTAGGTAAATATTTTCATTGTAGAATCAAGAACTTAATTAAATGGCAATTTTTAAGTAATTATTCTTACGGTCTCGCAAGCCTTCTTTGCTCGGAGTCAGGGTTCTTGTGTCCATAGGTGGTCTCAGTTATCAGATGAGCCAGTTAGTCCCTGTTTAAAAAAAGAAATATTTCATTTAACTAAAATAATAGCAAGTGATCCGTGATCGGATTGCGGAGTTAAAGTTACGACGAAGTAACGGCACGTGCCATAATTGGTGTCTGACCGCTGGCCAGGTATATTGCGCTATCAATTATTATAGTATGAATTTATTGAATAATACAGTGTGTGTAAAATACATTTCACCAGGCTTAAACGCGTTTTTAGCAGTCTACCAAGCATGGTGACGTCGACTCCTGATCTTTATGTATTTTTATCATTTATAAGAAATTAGACAAGGTAGGTCGATCTTCAGTAACAAGGTTTAGTATGTATAACAGTAATTATTACTGAGAAAGGAAACGCCCGCAAGTCGATAGTCATCACTTAGCTTCTTGCACGTCATGTCCCCCCGACGTTCTCTTCCTACATGGAAATAATAATAATAATGAAAGCCTTTATTCACTAATCAAATAAATACATTGGCATAATTACACTAGTTTACCTTTCCTTATTTTTGTGGTCGTCCATCTGTCACACCTCCGTATGTTCAACATACTCAGTTCCATGTCATATGTCATTAGATGTTGAGAGTGGAAATGCAGGTTTAAATATGAATACAACAAAAACAAAATAATGACAAACACAGAAAATGAGATTATAATAATTACACAAGAAACGGTTGAATAACTAGTCTGGCCATAAATACTGTTACTTATATAAAAACTTTTCCTTTTTTTTCAACTTTTTAATTATTTTGAATTTGGAACACGTAATATTATTTTAAAAACTTCTTTCAATTTTTCGCCATTTTATATATTTTTTCATGTTCATTATCAAATTACAATATGGAATGGGGTGTTAAAGAAAATAGGATTGCAATTGTCGCCTTGCACAAAGTGGGTATGGAGCCGTCGGTCATATTCCATACATTTTAAAAGTTTGGTAGCCGTATGTTCCTATATCGTACTATCAACAGATACAACAACACTTCGTCTGTAGAAGACCAGAAAAGGTCGGTGCGGCAGCGTGCTGTTACAACTATTAAGGTTGTTGATGCTGTTAAAGCCAGAATTCGTCGAAACCCCATTAGGAAGAAAAAAAATTATCGCGAGCAATGGAGATCCCGCTAGGACTCTGTCGCGTACTATAAAACAAGACCTAAAGCTCGGTGCTTATCGTTTATATACAGGACATGCCCTAAATCAATCTTTACAACTATAGAGAGTGTATTGATCAAAACACCTTCTGTCGCGCGCAGGTGAAAAGCACAGAAATATTCTCTTTACCGATGAAAAAAAATTAACGATTGAAGAACACTACAAGAAGCAAAATGATAAAGTGTACGCTTAAAGTTCTATAGAAGCTGCTCAAGTGGTCGGAAAGGTACAACGTAGTCATCATCCTGCGTTAGTGATGGTTTGGTGAGGATGTGTTATCAAGGAGTCACAAAACAACATTTTTGTGGAATAAGAGTGAAAACTTCAGCCAAAGTGTATTAAGATACATATAAGTCTATTATATATATAAGAGCTGAAGACTGGCCCTAATCTAGCCCAGACCTCAACCCTGTAGACTTCAAATTATGGTCAGTTTTAGAGGCCTGATCTAAACGACACGGCGACATTGAGTCTCTTAAAAAATCTTTGGTGCAAGCTGTGGTCAAATTTCCCTAGAAGCAGTGCGTAAATCCACAAATTCGTGGCCAGACTGATTAAAGGCCTGTATAAAAGCCAAAGGTGGCCATTTCGAATAGATTTTTTTTGCTGAGACTTCAATAAATATTTTATTAATATTACATTACTTCATTTTAAAAAAATGCATTTACAAGAATTTGTAACAGAACTTATGGCTGGACTAGGTATTTATTCTCCGGCAGCTTACTTCCTATTTTCTTTAATTTTGTTCTCCAATATTTCAAGTAAAAATATATGAGCGATTGCTACATGTCGATTTTGTTACGACTAAGAAAATTTCCGAAAGGAAATTCTCACATATAATATGACAAAATAATGATATAAGTAGAACAAATCACATCGTTACGTATAAACAAGTGAATGTTAAGTCAAATATAACAGATTTCATTTGGCACCTACATAGTGCCTTCGCATTTGTAAATTTACTAACTTTTCATCTGTTTGATGATGAAGTAGTTTTTTCCTTTTTATGAAATTGAAGTATCACATGACTATACCCATAAATAATAGTTTAGTTTTTATAGAATCACTGAAAGCATATCACGTACAAAGTTATAAATTTAAATTTTAGAATTTATTTTATTTCAATTCAGTTTGGAAGGCAATACATATAATATTCAGTTGTATTATTCACCAAGACCGATATCGCCCGTACCTAAGTAGTTCAGTTCAGAGTCGAGACGAGACTTTCCATACCCTTGTCAAAAAATATTTCACAAACAGGAGTCTTTAGCATAATATCCTTAATCGTACGTATATGGAAAATCATAATGTTATTTTTATGGCAGGCTGTTTTTAAGTCAAATTAAAGTAATCAACAATACCATATAACATTGCGACTATAACTTAAGATTTCAGACAAACAAAAAACGAGGAAATAAATATTATCTTTTCCTCTTTGGCCTTCGTATTGGCACGAATATTATAAGCAAAATTATTAATCAATTCATTTGAAGAATACAATTTAAAAAAATATAGTATACTTTGTGCATCACGTGACGTTGGTAATGAATCGCGAATGAAGCCAGAAGCCTACACATTAACACTGTGTCAAGGTTTAAAGCTTTCCTCTAAACACTTATGTAGGCGACACAAGGAGAACAATATTTTGGCGTGTTCATACATATATTTCACTTTAGAGAGGTGATATTTGTTTTGTATACCATATGATCCTATAAATACGTATTAAGGAATAACCACGCTCAATGTCATAGATATTCGCTTAGCTACCTTTGCGTTAATATTAACAATCTGAAAATAACAAATATTTTGTAAAAAATCAATAAACGAAATTTATTTTATTATAACAATTCTAGAATACTTACCGACTTAGTCCAAAACTTTCCACACTAGAATCTCATTAGCGTAAATCGTAGCGATTTTACTGTCGAGCAATGTAAGCACCTCCTACGACCTTCTAACAAGCTCTAACAATTAACAGATACGAGTAACGCCCACAGAAAGTAAGATGGGAATAAAATTAATTGCACTTACAAGAACATTGTCACCTAGTCTTTTTAGATTACAAATAATGGAACAGCTACACTATTGAAGACAAATATCGTATAACGTACCTAAAAATCAATATTTAATTCAAAACTAGAATATTGTGATCTTGTTTCGTGTACAGCATGGTAAGGGGTCGATTTTATTATTTTAAATTCAAAATAAAAGTCTAATAATTTGTAAATAAACGCATTTAACTCTGATAGGAATATATTTAGTCTATTACGCGGTAATAGAAACCATATCTTAATATTTATAACTTGAGAACGGCTGGACCGATTTTTGTTTGTTCGATTCGTCTTCGCTCTGAATAGCAGAATAACTAATAAAAATATATTATATTTAAAAATATCGAAATGATTCAAGATCAAGCAAAGAACTCTAATTGAAATGTTTAATGTAAGCAACAATATATAGAAAACAAAGGACAACAACTTGACATTTGATTCAAAATTTTCCAACGTCATAGACAAGAATAACTCTAAGACATTCGGTTCATAGACAATGTTGAGATTGCCTAAAAATTTTAAATTTTGCCTAAAGGTTTAAAGTTTACCTAAATGCATTTAATGTTAGACGTTATATGTACATGAGACGTCTAACAGTCGTTTTTTTAAACATGTTAATTTACATCCTTCTAACATAAACTCCCAAGATAACGTTCGAGTAAAATTTGTACGCGATTTATTCCGTATTCCTTGTTTCACAATGATGATAATCAAGATGACGTTTGTTCTGGGAAGCAGTTTCCCCTTTATTCAATATTAAATCGCTTCTCGTGAGATAATGCCGAATGCGTCCTACCCCACTCGCGCGCAACCTATATCCTGTCGGCGGACAATATTGCTATTATAAAAAAGGTTATAATTTATGGTAACTTCCTAAGGAATCAATGTTTATAACGAACCTAACATTCTATTAGGTTGGTAATTTAGGTACACTCCCATTTTTATCAAAATGGGTTTATTAGATGTTAATATATGAGTATGCAATTGTAGGCACGGGCATGTACAATTATAGGCACGTACCTAGATAAATCATGTAATACCTGTCAGATATTTGCAGTAGATTCTTTTCTTAATTGTAATGACATATATCATAACCTGAAACTTATGTCAATCAAGGTGTCTCGGAGTAGCAGAATAATTAGTATTTTCGTGATATTTTTAACGACGATTAACACTTCAATTATTTAAACCCATGATGATGATATAACTTTGATGACTCATTTTACAGATCATAAACTTTGATTATGACATGATTGATTAATTTTGACCTTTTTAATCATTGCATTGATTACGAAATTTCGTAAAATTGCTTACTAGGCCATAATTATCCTTGATTTAATATAATTTACTAACCACAAGGTCAAAGTCTAACCTTTACCAATATATACATATTAATAAGTGACAAGACATGTTTTTGGCTACAATAATTATTTTGTCGATGATCATAATAAATAAATAGTGTGGTTTAAATTGTTTAATTCTTTATTGTAAAACAGGTTATATCCTCTTAAAAAAATTGTAAACCTTAAAACAAATATGATACTTTCTATAAAACCTTTTCTAAGGAAATAATATTATAAATTTAATAAATAAAATATTCGTAATATCCGTACATGAATACGGATAAGGCAGGCATGATCGTGGGATTTTTATAATTAATGTGACTTTTCTTATTAAATTCCAAGTTTAACTTACCCTAGTTAAACTGCCCGGCCTATTATATAAAATAAAATAGCAGGATGTGTAGCTTGAACATTGCGTTTTGCTATTTATTGTAATACAGTATACAACAGTGACAAAAAAATGAGTGAGGCGTTATATTCTTATGATTTTTATAGTGGACGCTAAGCGAATATTTATATAGAACTGGTTTTACACTTTTATGGTAATTCTTTAATTTTCTTGAATTGAATTTCGTGGCAGAAATTTTATTCTTGCTTTTCAAGAATACATCTTTAAAGCGAAAATACGAACACGAAAAACGTTGTCTGAAAATCTGTGCGCAAGGCAAAAATAACCAACGCGAAACTGCCTCCTTTTGTCAACAGGCGCAACCATTGTATTGCATACACATACCGTATTAATTTATGAACTTCACATACCGTTAAATTATTTTGTAAATATATTCTTGCTCAATTCCATGGGCAGGTGACAGGACGCACATTTCTCGATACATTTTTGATAATCTTTTCATAGGCAAGTATGTCGTTAAGAAAAAATGTTTAGGCGAAACGCGTAGAAATGGTGGTGTTGGTGAACTGAGAACGTCCAAAGGCCTAACTCTTCTATCCGGGAAGGTAAATGGGGATGACGACCTTGAATACAGCGTCGCTTTCTTCCTCTCTGACTCCGCAAAAAGTAGTCTTTTGGACTGGAAACCCATCTCAGACCGAATCATTTGGGCCCATTTCAACTCCGGAAGACCGTATGCGGAGGAGACCAAGGATGACTTTTACAACGCTCTAAATGCCACATTTAAAGCTATTAAGAAAAAAGGTATTGTGATCGTCATGGGGGACCTTAACGCAAAGGTTGGAAGCGAAAACATCAACTGTGAGCGTAACATGAGCAAACACGGACTTGGAGCACGAAACGAGAATGGTGAACGTTTATAGAGTTTTGCCAACACCATGACCTGACCATCGGTTGGACACTATTCATCCATAGACATGTACATAAGTACAACACAGTCAAATAAGCAGATGTATATACAGGAACTATTCTTGTAGAGTGACTCGCGTCCGACAAGGCTGCCGCGGAATAGAGTGGTGATTAACCAATATCTTGGAAGATTTGGATTATGCCGATGACCTATATCTGCTAAGTCACACACAACGCGACATACGATCCAAGTTGGACGACCTGGAACGGGGGATCTGCTTGACTCCAAATCAACATCCATCAAAAGAAATGCGTGTTGGAGTTAAGAACCGCAACCCATTGAAGATGCGTTCTAATTTGTTTACCTTGGAAGCGTCGTGTCCAGAGTGATGCTCCGGCTGTCGAACTGTCACCCGTTGAGCGCATTCGATCCGTGTATTTTTATTTTAAACTATCGCTATTTTTATATATAAAAGTTTGCTATAGTTGCCAGGAGTTCTTCACAACCAACTGATTTCACTCTCGGAGACGTACACTCGCCGCCTATCCCTAACTTCGGGATTCGGGAGAAGCGTGAGTCGCTATGAACCTGTTTCGGGTCTCGTGACAGCCTCCTACTTCATTTTATTTATTGTGTGTGTGATTAAAATGAACGCATTCCACAGCCGGCAGGGAGACACCGCCCCGCCCGCAGCGCCCACGCTCCCGTTCAGGTCGAGCGAGGCCCCCTGCGGGTGCCGAGGCCGCCGCCAACCCCGGACCGTCACCCATGGTGCGCGAAACACGCCGAGCTCGGCCACGGCCAAGCACCAGGCTGCCCAAGCTGCTCCAGCTGCGGAGCCAGCTCCGCCACAGCCGAGCCGAGACCAGGACACCCTATCAGAGGCGACCTACTTCCGATTCAAAAATGTATACCAAAGAAATCGCCTTCATCAAACAAAACTGCATCCAGGCTAAACACCGCCCCGTGACGTCAGCCACCGCCCGCCGCACTCCCGCGTCGGAGACATCGCGGCCCGGCACCGAGTTGCAAGCCGTACGTCTGACGTCAGCAGGCCAGCCCCTCCGCGTCAGAGACGTCGCGCCATGGCACCGAGTGCGCCCGTTCGTGACGTACCGATGCCGCCATCTTATCAATGAACATTGAGCGAGCCAACCCGTCGAGATTCGGCCGCCGCGCCTCCTTTCATTACGATCGGAATGCACACCTGTTGACCTAGTGACTTCATTACCCAGTGCCAGTGCAAGTTCGCGCGTTTTAACTTTAATATTACTGACAAAGACAATAATATGAGTGCCGCTAACATAGGCCCGACGCCTTACCGCGAGTCAGTAGTGTGGACGAACTCCTGAACATGTTGGACAGCGACCCGGGTCCTAGTGCCGCGTCTTCGCCGCGACGGCATTCGAGTCCGACTTGATCTTTTTGGCTCAGTCGGCCGCATGTTCGTTCGCGTCGCGGGGATGCTGCGCGCTATGGCCCGTTACGCCAAGTCACGCGAAGAGGCGCTGCGTAACAGCGGAGTTTTGGAGTCTCCACTGACGGACGCCGAGCAGCGGGAGTTGGCGCAGGTACGAGACGAGTGTCGTCTGCCTGCGCGCACCACTGCCACCCTGTGCGCCGCCCTTTTTCAGCCGTGGACCCCGGCTCGGAAGGTGAGTCCGCGGCAAAGCGCCCATCGCTGCCATTAATAACAAAAAGTGCGTCAGGCTTCCCTGGCGACCCTCGGCTGGCGCCAGGACGCCGCCCGATGGGAGGGCCATCGACACAGCCACCTGGTGCCCGTCCCACCGCCCGTCGCACAAACTGACACTAACATCATTGACGCTTCACTTCCGGGACCCGCTGCCGCTCCCGTCGCCTCCGCTGACGACGGCGCCGCTTCAGCACCGGACGCACCTACCTACGCAGGGATGGTTACTCGCCGACGGTCCAGGCGCAGCCCCCTAGAGCTCCCGCGGCCCCCAAGCGATCCGAGTACCCGCCGATTGTCATCGAGTGCCTCCCCAATTATGTACATCATTTGGGGAGGATCAGTCAGCTGTTGGGGCGGACGGCTAATGCCAGGCACGGGAAGGGGTACCGTATTACCCCCGAATCCGGCGATAGTACCGGGTGGTACAACGCTACCTATCGGACCTGGAGAAGGAGGACCGCCGGGTCTCCTGGTTCTCTTACTCACTGCCCGCAGAACAGGATCTAAGGTGGCGATCGGGGTATCCCAGTCACCACCGACCCCGAGGAGCTGGCCCAGGCCTGCGCCGCGGTTGAGCCTGATTTATACGCCCAATCGGGCTAGGAAGGGCCGTCCCGGCTGCATTTTCCTAGCGGTCTGCGGCGCACTCCGGACTCACCCCTGCCATTACTAACCGAGCTGATATATGACGGGGGTCACCAAGCCGCGCGGGAAAAAGGGTCCCCAATCCTCGCGCAGTCGTTCAGGCACTCCTCGGTCAATTGCCATAGGCGGATGGCGTGCGTTCCTGCCGGGAGCATCGCGCGGCTGACTGCACCAGACCGAGAGAAGAGCCGGCGACCTGCGCCAACTGCGGGGGCCTCACCCGCATGCCACTCAACTTGCCCGGTGCGCAAGGAGGAGGAGCGGAACCGGCGCGCGGGCACGTTCGCCCGAACGGCGCCGCCCCGCCCCTTGCGCCAACGCCGCGACGAAGCTAAACCGCAATCAACATCCGCCCATGGGCGCCGCGCCCCCGCCGCCCTCCCCTTGGCGTCCGGCGCCGCGCCTGCAGTCGACGAAGAGGGTTTCGTCACGGTGCGACCCGCACGAGACGAGGTGGCCGCAGGCGTGGCCCCGCCGCACCCTCGCTTGCCGCGCAGGAGGCGAGCCGCTGCCGCACTTCATCGGTTTCCGCGGACGTCGCCAACCGCCCGCGCCCAGCCACACCCCACACCAGCACCAGCACCCACCTCCCGCGCGCGCACCAGGTCCCGCGCGCGCCGACCTCAAATGGAGGAGGCACTGCGGCGATCGCAAATATTCTCCAGGCTGTAACCGGGGAAACCCAGCCCCGCTCTAGAAGAGCGGCTCGGCCCTCAAGGGCCCTACCCGAGGTCGCAGCCGCAGTGGGGGCCTTCGGCTCTTGCATTGGAACGCGCGCGGCCTCGCCAATAAGGCCACCTACTTAAAACATCTCTTGAACGCGCAGGATATCGACGTCGCCCTGATCAGTGAGACGCACCTCACGGAAGCGCCAGGTTGCGCATCCCGGGGTTCGAGACCTATCGCCAACACCACGTCGACGCCATCGGCCGCGCCTACCGTGGCCTAGCAGTCATGGTCAGGCGCCGCATACCACACCGGTTACTGCCCGACGTGGCTGTCACCGAGTGCTCGGCCCTGGGCGTGGAGCTGCAGCTCGCGGGTCGCCCCACAGGCTTTTTTGCAGTCTACGCCCCGCCCAACGACCGATACGCCTCCTCTGATGTCCGCGCGCTCCTCGCGCCGCCCATCCGTGCGTCATCGCCGGTGACTGGAACGCGAAGCACCCGGCGTGGAAATTCGCGGACAGCGAACTCGCGGGGCAGACGCCTGCTGCACACGCTGAGACACTGGACTTTTTCAGTGTCCGGCCCGGACGTGCCGACCCATTACCCGGACATTGCCTACCACCGAGCCGATACGCTGGACGTCGTTGTCCACCAGGGAGTGACGTGCCAGATGACCCAGGACGTGATCGTTGACGAGTTCCTGTCCGATCACCTCCCTGTGGTTGTCACCCTGCTGGACACCGATCCAAGTTTATCGCCCTTAACACCGCTTCGCCGTAGGTGCATTGACTGGGGGTTTTCGAGCGAGCCCTCGACGACGCACCACAGCCGCGACCGCCCGAAACCCCTACATCAATCGACAATTTTTCTACCATAGTCACCTCGATGCTTCAGAGTGCACTTCAAGCGGCCACCACCGAGCGCCCTCTGCCGGCGACATACCCGCAGCTGCCGCCTCGTTTGCTGGCGCTCATTCGCCGCAAACGCGCACTGCGGAGACGCTGGCAGCAGACCCGCTGTCCGCGCATGCGCGCAGAACTGCGCACCCTCGCCGAGCGGGTAAAGGCTGCGCTCGAGGACCATAGCAACGAGTCTGGGAGCGCTGTCTCGACGAGGCCACAACTGATTGGGTACGGCTGCACCGACTGTGCAGGCGCCTCAATGGCGCAGCCGACCCGATCCGCCCGTTGAGACACCCGGACGGAACGCTGCGCTACGACGCCGAGGCGCGCGCCGAGCTGTTCGCAGACCACCTTCAGCGGCAGTTCTCCCCTAACCCCGCGGCGGACCCTGCACGCGCGTTAGAGGTCGAGAGCCCGTCGTCGAGCAGCTAGGCGCCCCTCCGCCGGCAGACGAAGAGGTGCTGTTCGTCTCGCCGAGCGCCGTCAAGCGACAAGCAGCGCGGCTCAAGCCCAAGAAGGCCTCCCGGCCCGACGGTATCGCAACGCAGCTCTGCGTCACCTGCCCCATCGTGCGGTGGTGACGCTCATGCGTCTATTTAATGCGATCCTCCGGACCGGGCACTTCCCCGAGCCATGGAAAGAGGCGAAAGTCATTATGTTGCCTAAGAAAGGCAAAAACATTATGGACCCGGCGAGCTATCGCCCCATCTCCCTACTAGCAACACAATCCAAGCTGTTCGAGGCCATGCTGCTGCCGACCATCAGGCGGCACTTCACTCCCAGGCCCGAACAGTTCGGATTCCGGAGCGAAGCATTCCACGACTCTACAGCTGTCGAGGGTACTGCACGACGTCGTCTTCGCCTTAAATAAGAAGGAGGTGCGGCGGCGGTATTCCTCGACATGGAGAAGGCTTTCGACCGAGTCTGGCACGCGGGGCTGGTGCACAGGCTCCTCAGCTCTGACTTCCCGCGCGCGTGGTGGCGATCATCAGCTCCTTCCTCTCCGACCGGCGTTTCTACGTCTCCGTCGAGGGGGTCAAGTCGAGCTGCCGGCCGATCGCCGCGGGGGTCCCTCAAGGAAGCTGCCTCTCTCCTGACCTATACTCAATCTATACCAATGACGTTCCAGTCGCTGCGGGGTGTGCGGTGGCGCTGTATGCGGACGACACCGCCTACACCGCCTCCTCACCAATGCGCGCCACGCAGCAGTCAAGCTCCAGAGGTCGCTGGACGCCCTCCCAGTCTGGCTGGCAGAGAGGCGCCTCACGGCGAACGCCGCCAAAACACAAGCTATCATCTTCGGGCAGGGAGAAAGCTCCCGCCGCCGCTCACCCTGCAAGGGGCCGAGGTTCAGTGCGCCCCCAAGTCACCTACTTGGGCATCACGCTGACCGAGGCCTCACGATGCGCCCGCACGTCGCCGCAGCCGTAGGCCGCGCGAAGGCGGTCGCCGCCAGACTGCGCCCGGTGCTCCAGTCGAGCCTCCCATTACGACGTAAACTGGCCCTATACAAGACCTACATCAGACCACATCTCACGTACGCGGCGCCCCGTGGTTGCTCTCGCGGCCGAGACGCACCGGCGTCGGTTACGCGCCGTCAGAGCACCACCCTGCGACGTATCGTCGACGCGCCGCGTTACGTGAGAAACGCGACTATTTCGAGAGACCTAAGACGCAAGGTCTAGACGACTTTATCGGCGAGCTGGCGAGGCGCATGTTTGAGCGTGCGGACGCCTCCGGCTTCGAGCACCTCCAGCGCCTCGCCCCGCATCATACACGACCTCCAGACCACAGGCGAGCCTTCCCCGCGAGCTGGTTCGCGCGGAGTCAGATGAATCTCAGTGACACAATTACAATTGTTATAACATCAACATCCAAGACAAAAGGGCTGGACCCCTCCCGTCGGCGTCGCGGAGCGCGCTGAGGTTTCGTCCGCTGGTCTGCCTCGCTGGGCTTCCCCGGGTAACCGAGGGTCTCACCCGGTGTGGTACGACCGCGCCCACGCGCGCCCGTTGCCGCCGCGGGGGCGCCACCAGCCCCACCGACATGAGACAAGAGGCGCCTGCGCGAGCGAAGACGCTCCGCAGCGCAAACGAGGTTCAGGGCCGCTCCAGGCCCGCCCCAACGACCATCCCGCCGTTGAGCGGGATGCGTATCCCGCAACCCCCGCAAGCCCATGGGCGTAACGGGGTTCCCAGCGCCACTTAAAGGTGATTGCGCGGAAGATAGCAGAACGGTCGTGTCCAGAGTACATTAATTCACGCATTGAGCCGAGCAACCTTCGCACAATTTCAGCCTGTATGGCAGTCACTGATGTTGACGCGTCGAATCTAGGTTAAAATATTCAGATCCAACGTCAAATCTGTGCTGATCTATGGGCGTGAAATGTGGAAGGTCACCAACGACATTTCGCACCGACTCAAAGTCTTCGTCAAACGCTATCTTCGCCGTATTCATGGCATCTACTGGCCCAAGCAACTTTGTGAGCGCTGCTGAGTAACCCCGATTAGCTAGCAGATTAAGCGACGCAAATGGAAATGGATAGGCCATACACTCCGAAGGGATCCGTATCATATCCCAAGCAGGCGGTTGATTGGAACCCGCAAGGAAAGCGAAAGCGTGGCCGTCCCAGGCAAACCTGGTGTCGTACAGTTGCAGAGAGCCGGAAAGACTAGGAGCGAAATGAAATACGAGGCTCAAGACCGAACACGATGGTAACTCACTGTGGACGCTCTCTGCCCCATCTAGGACAGGCAGTACATTACAGTACATACACATAGGACGTTAAGTCAAGTCATATAAGTCCTATTTAATGCTTGTTTGTATCTTATCTATCAACTTTTTAACAAATATATTAAAGTAATGTGCAAATTACAATTTGGATTTTATAATAATAAAAATAGTCGTAAGGATATTTTTTATAATTAACAAATAATATTGACTATAGGACATAATATTTCCATATCCACTTATTTTATTAACTATTCTAAGTTTAATACATAGTATCATAAGGTATAACACTGTCACTAACTACTGCAAAATCTAATTGATTCATCTTGCCATGGCAACTAAATACTTTAAATATGGATTTATACTTGGTTTTGCCCAGTATAAATAAATGTATGCGACTTGGCAATTAACATTACTAAATCATTTGAGTAAGTATCTTCTCAATGCTGGCAGTTTCATGTTCACTATTATCAATAGCTTTGGAGTCTACTAAGTTTGTTGTTATATGTTTCAGTAATGTTACAATTTCTTTTTTTCATCTTTGGTTGTAGAATCTTCACTGGTAGCTGCAGACTCCTCCATAGCAGCAGCAAGTTCATCATCATCATCATCCTTGCCATACAATTCAGGGTACTGTGCCATGCACTCTTGCATTACACTGAACTTTTCATAACAATCACTCCCTTTTGGTTCAGCTTCACTGTAATGGAAGCAGGAAAATGCGTCACGGAATTGAGTTCCGCAGGGCCCCGTGGCCATGCCACCAAGACAAGGACAGCCCCAATTGATAGACCCATCAGGTAATATAAGACCTGGAGCAGGCTCTGGGGGAGGTAGGGATACAGTACTAGGTGTACTCAACTCACTGCGGCTTGCCACAACGACTGTGTGCTTGCCATCCTCACTAACACTCCATGTCCTTCTACTTGTAGTATTTGGTTCACCAGATCCACCAGACATTATTAATCTGGAATAAAGATATAGAAAGACTTAATTGAATATATTATATAGGTATTATTCTTTAGTTTTTTACTTTAATGGGATCATGTCCCTTATGTTAATTTAATATGTATTCAGACAGAGATTACAGGAGACAAAGTTATTACTTAATCATATTCTAAACACCAATACCTAGTAAACACAATGGACCAAATGGGCATCTAAGAGCCGAAACTTCCACACTACTACACCAATACATACAAATTAGAATATTCTGCTTACTTTAGATGAAAATGTTAAAGCAAAGCCTGTAGTGAAGGTGCTTCTCGGCAAACGTGAATCCTCCTGGCAGAAAGAGCTATTGCTGCTCTGAAGGAACGTAGGAAATCAGGCCTTAGCCGCACTACTACCTGTGAGCCGTGAACACTAAGTACATCCACGTGACCTACTCCTGCTTCTCCAAATAATTCAGTGCACACCTTCCGGAACAGACTTTGAGCGTACAGTGCCGACTTCTGATCCCCTCCGTCGCTGAAATCAATGATATATTATTGTATCTTTAATCTGACTGTTAGATTAAATAACAGAAACAAGTAAAAGTATAGTAATTGTTTTACTCGATTTGAATAGATAACTGATAAACTACAACTACCAGAAATAAGATATAAGTTATAACCTCAAAAGAAGAATGGAATATCTTTAAAAATAACACTACAAGTTATAACGACTTACAGCTGCTCAACATCCAACAACAAATAGAAATACCTGCAATTCATACGTACTAAGTTTAGATACTTTATAATTTTATTAAATCGAAATTTTAAAAATACTGACAATATTTTTAAGCATATTTTGAAGGATTTCACAATTTCAAGCAATGATTTTGTAATGGCAATTAACATTTTAACCACAGTTTAAAAAAGGGCTGCAAATGACATAAATTGACATTAGCACACTGGTATGACGTATTGTAATATAAAAAATGAACATTTAGCATTTTCCAATTTTGTTATAGCAAATTTTTTAATAAGTGCTTCAAAACATGAATATTATATTTAAGATTTATTAGTTCGTTAATAAATTTAATATTATGCAAATTAATATAATTCAGCGCCATCTGCTAGCATACTATCTAACCTAGTTAAGTTTTCAAAGTACAGCATGTAGACATGTTGTAGTGGTTAAGAAATAGATAGAGCTACGTGAACGGTGAACCTAAAATTTACTGTTTAAAATGAAACAGTAATACAATACACAATATCTAGTTAACAAATACAAACCAAAAACAGTAACGGGTACCTTTTATTGTAAATGTTTGCAATAATGTAAAGTAAACAAACAAGCTAATTCTTTTTTTGTTCAACGGTTCAGTTTTTGACACGACATACTGATTACACAGGTATCGGGTATATACTCTATCTAATGCCCCAGATAATACCAATGTCTACAACGCATTTGCTTCACAAAATAAAATGACCCCATTCACCCTTGATCAATAATGCAATAGTATGTACCTAATGGATGGCGTGTCAATTATGTACATAATATTTAGAGATGAGTTAAATTCAACTCTTAACTCGTTCTGCTTCTCATAAATACGAATTCATTTTGATCTTATTTAAATGCAAAACAGTTAAAAGAACTCTCTTCATAAGATTAACCAAAGAAAATGCAAGAAATCAACGATAATTTCTTACGTTCTAAACTTATTATACTAAATAGATCGTTTTGCTTTAACGACAATCTCTCAAAAATTGAGTGGCTGAAATATAAGTGATACTCATGCTTTTTATAAGATATTTAGTAATTTTTGCTAAATCAACGGACTATAACCCTTTGGATATCGCTGGCTCTCAGGACCATGCTGTGAGCTAAATGCAGTACCTAAGACTCTTAAGCTCCGGGCCGGCTCCATGTAATTGCTCGCGGTTACATTCAGCTTCGTGCGTCGTCTGCAGCCAAATTGCTTCACTGGCTCGCCGCCCGGCATCCGCAATCCGCATACTGCAAAGGACTTATATGGAAGGTCATTTTCAGATTAAAAATCGCTTTTGGGATTTCAGAACACAAATTGATGGAAAAAATACCACAGGTTGAAAAAGTTTTAACTAACTATTCGAGTTCAAAATAATATGATTATTAATTAATAACTTCATTTATTAAAGTATTTATTTCTCCTCGTTTCTCCCCTCGTTACGTTAGGGTTAATGCTTTACAGACTGATGTGAAAGGTATTCATGGATAATAGTAAAAAATAACAAAACCGTACTGGGGTCGTAGTAATTTGAATCACTACATAACTTTGTATACTTTCCTCTCAAATTCTACGAGACCGATGTAATTACATGATCGCTTGCAATATAAAATATTAAAAGCATAAGTAATCCTATATCATGTGAAAGTATTAAGGAAGTACCAACATATATTGTAAACTAAGACGCCGCAGCAGATGATACATCGTATTCAATATAATATTATCTATCTACTACCTGACACAAAACCGCACAGTTCCGGTAGCACTCAAATTTCTAAGGTAATGCTAGAAGCTCTTAAGTACTCCATCAATTAGTGTTTATGCTGCTAATACAGCATCTGAATATCATGCAATAACTTTTTTGAAATAGCAAATACTGCAGTAGTCTATGACTTATGATAATGCACGCTATTGACAAGAAGCAGGGTGATAAAAATGCCCAGAAATATCGATTGGAACCTCGATAGGCAAACCCACGCGGCAATGAAAAGCTTAGTACGTGGGTGTAGGGCCCTGGTGGGAGAACATTGTAAAGCTTCGTGCTTCGGAATAAGTTATGTCGAGCAGATAGTGCACGACACAGCGGAGGGGGCATAAGAACGAATAAACTACATTGTCCATATATTTCCACGTGTACGCTTATAAAATAGTAACTTTGTTGATGTTTTACAAAGAAAAAGATCTTGCAATCTGTAATGACCTCATTTCGTACGGGAAAATTGTGTCATTTATCCTTCAGATAATTTGTCACACTTTATGGCCAAATCTACTTACATTAGCCATGGTTTCTCTATATGTCCGGATAACCGACAAAAAGTGGAGTCTCAATGGGCTTGACGGAAAAACTGGACCATTCAGAGTGATTTGATCAGATAAAAAGCGCGGAAGCCTAGCTTTGCTCTTGCGTGACGACTAAATAAAGACAGCCGACATCTAAGTCATTGATTATTTAAATTTTCTTTTAGTTAAAAAGTTATAAAATCCCCTAATAACACGGTAGAATGGTTCCACGCTATAGGAAACGCGTTGTAGGAGAATTGTCGCAAAACGCGCTTGTATGACCCCATACAACGCTTTATGAACAAATGATTCACGTTTAACTTTTCTCGTTAAAGGGGATTTCAATCAAATATTAAGAAAAAAACTATGTTATGAAGGAAATATGTGCGTACAGAAATGTAACGTGTCCAGTCCTCGTCTTATCTGGGGGTATACCCGTGTTATACGAGGGTATGAAATCGCGTAATATGAAATAGCGTTATAAGAGTACTGTGTTATAAGGGGGTTTATGATTTTGTATGAATATTGGGTTGAATATTGATTTATTCAAAATTACAACGGGGACACTCAATTTTCCTCGCAAAATTTCATTAAAAAAAAAACATTTACATAATTCTATTAATAATCTCAAATTAATATTATCTACAATACAGTGAATGCTTGAATAAAGAGAATAAATAATTATTTTCTAAATATTTGTATATTCCACAAAGGATTTTTTTTCTGATACAGACTGTTTTATTATGGTTAAGTATAAGTACCGATGCCATATTGTTTTGACTATTTGATTTTTCCTATTTAGCATTTATCTTCCGGGACAGCGCCCGCCACGCGCACAGGATGCACGTCTGCCGAGGCCCGCTTCTCAAGGTTGCTGGCCTCAGGAACACAGAATGACCGCACCACATTGGCAGTCCGTTTCAACCAGCAAGGCACACACTAGCCTGTAAACATAACCATTAGAGACGCTGTAAGATTATTTACACGCATGATTTCGTTTAGATTAGCATTTAACAATTTGTTGTATTAAATCGTTGTTTTCATAATAATAACGTGAAGATAATAACTGCATGTTAATAATAGCCATATCGTGATGTATATTCGTGTCTGCTGTTTATTGTCCACTACACACGACTGACTGAGCCATTGTAACATATACTATGTATCTATACAGTATGCATTGAAATCACCGATAGCTTATCGCATGGCGACATTAATTAAAGAGCGCTTTGCATTGTTAGTATCTGGAAATAGTGGATATATTAAAAGAAGATTGCTAACTACGCGACAAAGGCTAATATTCTAAACCAAATTTACCACCCCACTTATGCGGTAATTATGAAAAGCCAATTATAAATTTAGTTCGTTAGTTGCGATATTTACTCAAGTTATACTATACCACACGGTAACTTTTTAATTCTCTAAATTATGTCAATGTTTTTACTTGGTGATTTAACTAAAATTAACTTTATTCTTTCTAACAGAAGGTCGATGTTCAAGCGTAAGGCTTAGTTCATCAGGGAGGTATTGTGGAGCTATTCTATGGACACTCAGTGCATATTGAATCAAATGTCTGGTCACGGATTGGGGACTTTAACAAGACACAAACAAGGTGAACTTTTACGTAGAGCGTAAACTCTTTAATGTCACTATAGACCGGAGGATACAATTTACAGCGATACTCCGAGTCGGACATTAAGGGCTTACTTTTAATGAATATGAATTTATACTTAAGACTTAGTACTAAGTTTAGAAATTAGATACAATTTTACCTTAAATAGTTATTTTAAACACGTACACATTTAAATACCAGACTATTTAAAGACCGATTTAAGGAAGTCGTGAGACCCGTTCTGACTGTTTTGGATCTTTGATAAACTAATTTTAATCGGTTTATTCATTAATTAAGTGGTCGTTAACTAAGGAATCAAACGTGTCCGTAATAAGACGGTTACGGGTAAAAAATCGTCTTACGACACTTTGTTACCTACCTATTTTTGGACATGTAATACGCAGAGATCTATAAAGTATCTCTGGACCGATCAAGTAAAGGCCCTTACAGGTCTTACTATCACCCAGGCGCAAAGGCTTGCTAGACAGGGGAGAGACGAAGATGTGTGGCGCTACTAACACGACTTTCAGAAATTAAGAGTGTGACTTAAGAAGAAAAGCTTAATAAAAATCTGTTAAACATAAAAATATTAAGAAGGTACAATAGGAAAGGCAGTATAGTAGTATTTATCAACTTGTTTAAACAGCTAAAGTGAATTTCTTTACATTTTGACACTGGTAAGTACTAAATAGTAGCGCAATGAGTATTTGTTTGGGCTCAAGGGGAACAATCTAACTTGTACGCCCTCCCGCCGCGGCCGCACGCCAAGACCACCTACTACGCTTTACCATATTACCGTGGTTCCATAGTCCAGTATAATTCTCAAACCAAAACTCAATAACAATCTGCAACACAAAAGTTTATGAAATCATTAAATTTTTACACCGTAAGGGCTTCTAACGAGGCCCAGATTTAAGAAAAAATAATCTGTCTGTTAAAAATTACTCCGTATTTCTAAAGTTGGAGGTAAGGTAGCGTATTGTACAAAATTGTAATCAAACATTGTACCTTGTACATTCTATCAATACGTATAGAATTTCAACAATAGTGAGGGACGTTGTAGGGCGGGCGGGACAATACAACTGTTACAGTAAACACCTGCAGTTATATTAACTAGCCATAATTCACCTTATTTAAGAACGATTTTCGTAAGGTTTTTAATTCTCTTCTAGTAATTATGCAATGTATAGGTATTAAGTGATTAATGTGATCAGTAACAAAAGCTTTAGCTTTCACAACTATGGGAGATCACCTGGCTTTCTCCTCTGAACTCTCGACCTCTCCCATGCTGTGTGATTCGTGAATCTTGTATAAACATTATACACACTCCATACAACTTTTGTTTTACATCGGTCGCGTTAATTACTGAAAGAAACTACACTGGTACATTATCTCGGTCACAATCTTGGTATTTATATGTAGAATTTCAGTCACTTCTATTTAAAACTCAAAGACTTCTTTATTCTATTGACATTGCTTGTTGCAAACTGTGTTCTCTCGTATGTATGTTAATGGCATGATGGCCGTGTTGTGCCAGTTCGGTCCACAAACAGCTCTAACCAAACTGTTTATCGATCTGCTAAAATTTCATATTCATGGCTACCTCGCTACATCCTTCTCAAAATATTATTAATACATTTTACCGAGGGCTACGATTTAGCGTCTATCTGTCAATTTTGTAGCAACGTCGTTGGGGCATACTTCATACATAATGACGTGATGCAACGCAAGGAATAGTGCTCCGTATGCGTACGTGATAGAGGCTAATATCGCTTAATAGTTGATTAAACTAGCAAATATTAGGCATGTTATACCCGTTATTCCAAATATAGCATAATGTCTACGCTTAGTTAGCACCTCTTAGTTTATTTATCCATTAGTTATACCTCCACAGATATTTATATATTTTTTATTTGATGTTATATTAGCGCACTAATGATCGTCGCAGGGGGGAATGTCGCCGACTAAAACGAAGCTCTGGTATGCGGCATCGTCCTCGTTTACATTCAAATATATTTGAACCTAGAAAATACTTCAAATATTTTTACTAAAACGGCGTGTGAATCCTTCAAAAGTACATCGACTTCGGTAAATTTAAATTCTAAACAAATCAAAAACGCTTGATCCTACACACGCGTTTATCCCGCTCGCGTATAGAACTTATAATGCTTTAGAGGGCAACATCACTTGTCACTCGTCGGAACATTCGTGTCGAGCAAACATTGTTGAGCGGGTGAGTGCCATTACTGGCGCGCCTATAGGTACAAACTCGTATATGACATGATGGTATTTATCTAAAAACTTTACAAATTCCATTTTTATCTTAATGAACTAGTTTCATATCATGCCCTTACAGA